TTATGCAGGCACACAACATAACACAAAATAAAACCAAAATAAAAACATGTACGAGAAAATGTAGTCAGATCATGTCAGGGACTAGAAATGGTATAATCCATTTTCAGGTGTCTCATATTGTATTAGATGCTGCTTCAGGCCTGAATGTGAAACTACAATATGTTTCATTTAGTCATTGAAGTTACAAACAATATGTGAAAAAATGTTTTAACCAATATGAACTGGGCTTAGTGTCTGATATGAAGTGTTCTTGAATGCAGCTCTCCTTTTCATGTCTTTGCGTTGCTTTGTTTCTCCTCTGATTACTTCTTCAGTGGCGTAAACAATCTGGTTGTATATCTGGGTCTCCAGAGTCAACAGCAACCCAAGCCCAATGCAGTGAATCGGATGGTAACACAGATCATCAGTCATCCCAACTACAACGCCAATACTCAAGACAATGACATCTGCCTCCTGAAGCTGTCATCTCCAGTGAGTTTCACCGACTACATTCTGCCCGTCTGCTTGGCGGCCTCAGGCAGCACCTTCTACAACGGCACTGACACCTGGGTCACTGGCTGGGGCAACATTGGAAGTGGAGGTGGGTCATAAAGCAAATGGAGCACATTTAGTTTCAGAGACAGCATGACTACAATGTTGGAGACAACTATGTTTTCTCAAATATCTGAATGAAAACTGTTCTTCCTTCACTGAGCAGAGCAACAAAATATTTTGCATGTGATTAATAGTTTGCAGGGATACTTATCACAAATGGTATGTGACATCATCGAACACCTGATAAAATACAAATAATTATATTTTCTTGAGGCTGTCATAGGAAGCAGTTTGTCCTCATGATGGTGCTGGAGTAAAGGTCAATAAAGGTGACCTGTGGAGTTTAACTTTTAACAAAGAAAAGTTATTTTTACATTTAACAATTTCTCACCAAATCACACTGTGAAAATTTTGACATGCAACAACATTAATGAATTTTATCTTCATCATAAAACATTTGGAAAGTAGATCTAAATATTTAATTATGTTTGGTTGCCACCAATCTTCTGTTTTGCTACCTTTGTTGATGCTTTTCTACACTTATTTTTGTGTTACTGCCACCAATTTGTTGATCTGTAGAATAGTGTGAAATTTGCAGCTGAAATGTGAATCACGTTATGTGTCAACAACAAACAAAAGAGTGATTGACTTACAAATTTTAGTGTCATTAGAAATAACTTTAACAGCCTCAAAAATGAATAACAGTGTTTTTCAATTGGAGCTAGTGTTTCTCACTTTCTGACATGTGAGAGCAGGTTCCACTTTCTTTTGAAGGTTGATGATGGACCTGTCCTTTTGTTTGCAGTTGAATTTGCTGTTTGTACCTTTTTGTGTGAAGCCCTGTGCTGATCAAGCTGAATTTGTGTCTTGTTAGTGTCCCTTCCCTCACCACAAAACCTAATGGAGGTGGAGGTGCCAGTTGTGGGAAACAGACAGTGTAACTGTAACTATGGAGTGGGCCATATCACAGACAACATGATGTGTGCCGGGTTAAGTGCTGGAGGGAAGGACTCCTGTCAGGTGATCATTTTTACACCTGTTTGTGTCAGATCTTACCTCCTGCAGAAATTGCTTCTCCTAAATGTTGCTCTCCGTAAAAGGGTGATTCTGGTGGTCCACTGGTGAGTAAGCAGAGCAGTCGCTGGATCCTGGCTGGAGTTGTGAGTTGGGGAGAGGGTTGTGCTCAGCCTAATTTACCAGGAGTCTACACCAGAGTGTCCCAGTATGAAAACTGGATCACCAGCCAGGTCACAGGCGACCAGCCGGGATTCATCACTTTCACGTCCAATGGGACTGACAGTGACCTCAGTGTTACCTGTCCGGGCCTACCCCCACCTCCAACCACACTCCCTCCAACAGCCAAACGTGAGTTCCTGCCATTTCCACAGTTTTTGAAATTATATAATACATTTGAACAGTTGGGCATAATTGGACTTTTTCCGTACAACATTGTTAGCTTCATGCTGTATCATTTTGTTGCAGCTCTTCAGCTTTGTGACAGTTGCACAGATTGAAATTTTGAATCCCAAAACCTTTAGAACTGCAGTGAAAACTGAACTGTTCCAGGTGTTTTGTGCATAATTTTGTACACATTTGCCCTAAATTCATGGCATGGTATATTTGGAATCTTAAATGATTTAGAACAAATTTTATATGTATTTCTGTGGGTTTGAACAATGTTTGTCTAAACAACCTGAGTTTATTACAGTTAATACACAAACATCTTTCATTGTTCACTGTTTTGTTTGTTTCTCCCGCTGTGGTCTGTGGATGGTATATTTGGAACCCTGTAAAATTTCACAAAAATTTAAAATACATTTCATTGGGTGTTATAAAAATTTAGCCTCATGAGACAAAGGAATGCTGAGACTTTAAAATTATCAAGGCATCTTTAATTATTCTTGCAAGAAGGAGCATGCAACAGCTACTCAAAAGTGCCTCTGCAGTAAGGAGGAGGAGTGAACCTCCTCAAGAGCTACTTATACTAGTCATTGCAGTTTTATTGCTCTTTGTTCCCTTCGAGGGCAGGGGTCAGGTCACCATGTATGTTTTCTTATCAGGAGATTGCCTATGTCCTGACTTCCCAACCTAAAGAGCATTAAACGTTTACAAGCAGTTAACTGAGTTATTTAAGCTAAAGAACATCCTTTTACAATGACTGCACATTTGTTCAGAGTAAACATTAGTTACACACAAGAAGGAAAGCTATGTCCAGTATTTTTCCATCAGTGGGTTTGATCAATGTTTGTCTAAACAACCTGAGTTTGTCACAATTACTGTACTTTATATCCTGTCCAACACTACACAAAAATCTTTCATTATTCACTGTTTTGTTTGTTTCTCCAGCTGTGGTCTGTGGCCAAGCCCCACTGAATCCTCGTATCTTGGGAGGAAGCTCAGTGGTGACAGCTGGCGTGTGGCCATGGATGGCAAGCCTACAGTGGAAAGGACGTCACGTGTGTGGTGGGACTCTGGTGGCTGTGGACTCTGTACTGAGTAATGCAAACTGCTTCTCAAAGTGAGACACCTGGAATGATGTTGTTAATTTACTGTATGCTGCCAGTCTGATTAGTGTGTGAGCCACTGCCCCAAAGATTGAATTATTTTTCCACACAGTGACAAATGAATTATGAAACAAATTAGTTATGAAACTAGATGCAAATTTCTCAGTAAGTAGTTTGCTTTTAATTTTTTCTTATATTTGTTATTGTGCAGAGATAGTTTAATAAGGTCCAATCCAATCAGAGAGTTTGAAGTTTGGAAATCTCCTTAGTTCTAATTTAGTTCCTTTTCTCTCCCACAGTTCCCCCATAGCATCTGAATGGACTGTGGTCTTGGGCCGTTTGAAACAGAATGGCACCAACCCCAATGAGGTGACACTAAAGGTGACTAATATCACCCTGAGCAACCTAACTGGGTCTAATGTAGCAGTGCTGCATCTGGAAGCTCGGCCCACCTTGACCAACTTCATCCAGCCCATCTGCCTGGACAACGGCCGAACCTTCGCTGTGGGCTCAAAATGCTGGGCTACTGGCTGGAGCTCTGGACAAGGAGGGGGTGAGTCCTTAATACACAGTCTGACTCAGTAATGCTAACTCACTTCTTTAGATAAAACAGTAGAGTTCAATAGGCAGGTGCAATCTGAATATCATTCAGGTGTTCCACTTCTCATCATTGTCTTATTTTCCCACATAGTGGAAGAAGTTCTGCAGGAGATTCCGACCTCGGTGGTAAATTGTGAGAATGCATCAACAACTGACAGCATTTGTACAACATCTTTTACACTGGGGCAGGTGAATAATGAGATTATTGTTATTACTATTATTATTATCCAATTGTTATTGTATTTGTATTTATCAATATGTTTGTATATCTTTAAACATTCAGAATATAGGGACCTAAGATTGCAAAGCCATTTTGTACCTGTTCTGAATTATAATAATATCACACGATTCAGACATGTTAGAATATATATTTAAAAAAACACATTACTTTAGAAGGATGCATTCATTAAACAGCACAATATGAACACTTTCTTTAAACCTACTAATCAATAGTGGGGATGAAATGTAAAAATGTTTGTGCAACAGGACACGTCATTGGTTCATTCAAGCAAGAATATGTAACTTTACCATCAGAAATCTTCAGCATAAATTATGTCAGTAAACATCATTTTTAAGGAATAAAAGTATTGATTATATATCAGGTTAAATGAAGCCAAGAAAAAATAATATTTTGAAAAAGTATTTTCTGTAGTTTTATGAAAAGAAGTGACTGAATGTGCACTTCAGAATCAGAGCAGGGTCAATACAAAATCATAAACATTCTGGACTTAACATTTTCCATCTTCGTTGTTTGTTCAGGGTGATTCTGGTGGGCCGTTGATGTGTAAGCTGGGTGGCTCTTGGTTCCAGGCAGCAGTGTTGACTGCTGACACTAACACCACTGGGCAAACACGAGCAGCTACAATGATGACCTTCACCAAACTGAACCATTTTGAGAGCTTCCTGGTTAATACACTGGGGACATTTTTGTCTCCAACTTCCGCAGCTGCAACCACCCAATCCACCAACATAACTGCCACCACTCGTGGGGACGCCCCTGCTCACTTTCCCTTCTTCTTCCATCTCCTTCTATTCTTCATGTGTCTCCACCTCTTTATGTAGAAACCTCTAACCTCACTATTAATAGTGATTTACATAATGTGACAGGCACAAATGAATATAAATCACCTTGAATTTGAGAGACAGTGCAAGCTTACATCTGCATTAACTAATCTAGATCTCACTCTAAGTTCTGCACTTAACTATCTTTGCTCCAGTAACTCACTTTTCTTCTAACTCAAAGCCATTCACTGGCTTTAGGCTCTGCCCTCTTAACCAGTTCATTTAACAGGAGCAAGGTAAATCCACTAACAACTTCCACTGGGAAGGCTTCAGGTTTCCAACTACGCCCTCTGCTGCCAAGTTTATATACTTAAAGCTCTTTCCTCTCACAGGCCATTTCAATTGCATCCTACCATGGATGGTACCATGTGGTTTGTGACCACAACATAAGACCTGGTCTTAGGTTAGTGATAGCTTTCTCCTAAGAAATTATGAAACTATTTTAAAAACAACTATAATCTATCACCTGGTCACTGTCCTAATAAACTGGACCTTCTTTTTGTCAAAAGAAAAGATTCTGGACTCTAACTGCTTTCAGTCTAAAATGAAGGGTGTAAAGGAAGAATTTTTAAAGCCACACCGAACAAATGTATGTAAACGTAGCCTCATATTTCACAATTTCATAGTTTTTTGAAGCTACCTACATAACTGTATTTGTACAGCTACTCTTATCTTTTAAACCAGTACAATAATATAATATGTGGCTTTATCCATCTTCACAGAAGAATGTGAAATGGAATCACTGAGTGCAATTCATTACATAAAATTAAGAAGAAATTACAGACATTATGCACATGACTCAGAATAATCATGTCAATTATTCATGTTTGCCATGGAATAACTTTCCTTTTAATGTGAAATCACTGAACCATTTTCCTGCTTTTGTCATAATAGCCTTCTTTTACATGAAATGAGTCATTTGTTTGATTCAGTATAATTCTACTTTTATGAATGTTTGGACCAAAGTGTTGTATCGACCAACTAACGTTTCCATCTATAAAGTCACAACACTAGTATGGCTCAAAATAACTGTGATTTCATGAATATTTTTACTGTCCTTTTCTGTTTTAGTGTGGCATGCTGACCATGTGTGTTTTATTGAGACAAAGACCTTTATGTTAAAGCACTCGAACAGAACATGTAACAATTAAAGCAGGGGACATAAATAAAAATACCATCTACTCTAATGAGGTTTTGTTACTTTAAAATTAAAACATCAGTGGTCATTCACTTTTAATAATATAGAGGTCAGGCCTGGTGATTGGACAAAGCTAGCACTGTGAAAGTCACTTTGGACCCTTGGCAATTGTGGTTATTTTTCCAGACCAAGCCATTAATTAATGGAGGACGTTAAATGAAGCCATAATGGTAATTAGTGGTAAATTTCTCCTATGCAAAATAAACATTAGCTCTACTTCTACCAAACACAGCAAAATCCTTTATATTAATGCATAATTGTCTAATATAATATAAAGGTATGTGTCAATCAAGATATATGCAAGAACAGGCTCAATGATTAATTACATGGACAATTGTGGGTGTGGTGTACACTTTGTAACCATTCTTTAGTATATTACTTGTGTGATGTAAGAATGTCAACACTGCTATATTCTTTTTTTTAGTATGCGTGTGCGTAGAAGTGAATCATTTACTGCTTGCAAACCAATGATAGTAAGATGATGTCATGGGGTAGGACTGGATAAGTCTGACTTCTTCCTACTCCATTCAAGCATGTACTAGGTATAAGCAAATTGATATGGATTATGTGTAAAATTATGTGTTGTCAAATCAACTGTTTTACATGCTTGAAAGAATAAATCAAATCAAATAGCACAATAAAGTCATTGCTGTCACAAGATGTTTCTCCATTTAGTACTTAAAACTTTGTATGCAACTGTTTCATAGTTACATGATTTTACTTAACACAGCTAGAATACTTGCTTCTACTATATACTCCAAGTATATTTGTCTCATGCTTACATGGTTTTACCCCCCCCCCACACACTTTAAAAGCAGGACTTTTACTTAAAATAGAAGAAAAAAAAAAAGCAGACTTATGAACTGCAGAAATTTTATTCAACCAAATGTGGATTTTGTAAAACATACTTGATCACCTTCAGTCACAGGAGCACAGTGTGACCTGACCATGGCTTTGTGTTTTTCCTCCATTTCAATATCACTAAATCTCAACTTGTATTTATAAATTATTGCATTATAGGAAATTAAAGATTCAAGTGTCTGCAACCACAAGTTTGGTAGCAAATTGGTTTTGGGCCAAACCAGAAAGCTGGTCAAATGCTAGAGTTGAAAACACTCCCATCTAACACTAAACCCAAGATTACTGAACTTTAACATCTAGAAATCATTCTGAATATTAGATCCAAAGAGCCAGAGATAGAGATGTCTAGCACCTGGTTTTATTTCCTATTCCAACATGTCACATAGTGAAATGACTTGTTTTCACATTACAGGCCTTCCTTTGACCAAAGTTAAAACCACCGGCAAATACTCATTTAACCTTGATCACCCCCCCCCCCCAAATTAAAAAATAAAAAAATTGCCCCCCAGTTGGAAAAAAAAGTGGGTACTTAAGAACTTTAAACAACTTCTGTAACTCAGAAGCAGGAAACTGGGCATGCAAACACCAGTGGGATACTGACCGCTTAAAAAAAAACAAAAAAAAAAACACCACACCAGTTAACTAGAGAAACTTGCAACTTCAGTTTCATCTTTCCCCCACCTGGAGCATTTGTTCTTTTAAATATACCCACTTCAACAGTAAAAGTCTGTGGCAATCCTTCACACACCCAGCCCCCACCCCATGACACCACTCCAACATATGGAGACTCATTTTATTGAAACACCTTGAAATACAAAACAAATGTTACATGAAACTGTGCCTCCTTCTTGTGGCACAAGACCTAAAAAGAAAGATAAAAAAAATTTTAACAAATGATGAAAAGAAAGAAGTGAATGGGAAAAACAAATGGTGAAAAGAAAGAAGTGAATGGGAGGGTCATCACCACTCATCCCTGATGTGGTGTGATGTTGAGGTGGTGTGACTTTGTGAGAGTGAGCCTGCCCCCTGGTGTTCTGGGGGAGTGGTGTTATAGAGTCCCATGTTTGTCAGAGGTAATTCACGTGTTAACTAGTGGGAGCTGACGGGGCTGTGAGGGGGAAGGAAGAGCAACAGCAGCACATAAGAGAGGGGGTGGGGATGGGGTTTGTGGCCTTCCAGGAGAGAAGGGGAGAGGGCTGGTAGCAGCTCCTAGAAGCCGTGGACTTTGAGCTGCTCTTCCTTGGCCAGGTCAATCTGCAAACAAACAGATTTAGTCAATGAGAACAACTCCCATCACATACACCATAAGTCATGTTCCCCATAAACAACTCTGTTGAATCAAATACCCTAGTGAAGTGGCAATTGCAGCAAGGAATTAAGATTAACATTACAAGCCCTACCTCAATTAGGAACTGGCAGATATTCTTGCGCTGGTCTCCCTGAAGCTGGATCACTTCACCATACTCCGGGTGCTCAATCACTGTCCCATTGCAGGCAAACTTCTGTTAATGGTCAAAAAGGTGCAAGATAGTGTTAACAGGACCAGAAAACTGGGACAACGGTCAGCATCATTATCTGGCAGACGGCCATAAAAAAAAAGACCATATTTAGCAACTGAACTGAATTCCTACCATTTTGATAACCACAATCAATCTTACTTGAAGACTAACAGCACTGTAGAGGTGTCACACACCAAATTCTATCCCCAGACAGTACCTTTTTGAAGGCCTTGACTAGCTTCTTCTTGTCATAGTCGGCAGAGATGCCCTGGACAGTAGTGAGGGTCTTCCTGCCGTTCCGCTGTTGAATTCTTATGTGGATGTAGTCCTCTGTCCCAGCTGGGAGGCGGTCATCACCCTTAGTTGCATCAGCAAAGGGGTCTGAAAGGGAGAGGGGGACACAGTATTGTAAAAACAGTAACGTTAATATATAACCAAAAATGAAACCATAATTTAGCTCAAGCAAAAAGTTTCTCTTAAGACATCGCTGCTAAATTACCTCTAACGTACACCTCACTTTTGCAAAGAACATGCTTCAGATGAACTGCGCAAAGGTACAAGCTATATATACACAGCTCTGTGAAGCCAA